TATGTGCGATGGGATGAACAGTAAGTTCCACTTATTTCGTGAGCATATTAGCACATGCTCCAAATGAAATAAGAAAAAAAAAAACAAGTAGACCATTTAATTTGCAAAAGATGCATGCAAAAATGTATAATTAGTTGAAAATATGAAGGTGGATCCATATGCCATTTTAACTTGGTGGGGCTAGATAACAAATCCCCTCCTCAAAATGAAAGCAAATGGTAAACTAAAGTGCACCGTATGCTGCTAAATTTGAGGATGAGTCTTACAAGTTACCATTAAGTAGCATCCAGGATCAGACATGGGGTAGCTTTTGTTGTTTGTAAAAACAAGTAGACCATTTCATTTGCAAAAGACGTATGAAAAAAATGCAGAATAAGTTGACAATATGCAGGTGGATCTGTAAGCCATTTAAGTTGGTGAGGATAGAATCATAAACAAATCCCTCCTAAAAATGAAAGCAAATTGGCAAACCAAAGTGCCCTGTGTGCTGGAATATTTCAGAATGAGGCTGGATATTTCAGGATGAGGCTTATAAGTTACTATTGAGTAGCATCCAGGATAGGACGTGAAGTAGTTTTCTGTTGTTTGCCTATAAGATAAAACTGATGAAGAAATTACTAAGTGGTTCGAAAACACAGTCTTCTAGCTATACTCAAGTTCGAGATTAATAAACAATAAATAACCAACATTTAGCTATCACTCCATTCACGAAAATTGTCCAAATTCAAAACCCACTTCATCACTGCTATGATTATTGATCTCAATGCCTCAGTTAAGACTCAAAAGTTTTATCCTTCATTGCTCATCATATACTTCATGCAAAGCACTCAAATGTCCAAGATCTTGCCTCAAAATCATTGCCATATCTGATCCTTTGCAAGTAAAAACTCAAATCAAACAACAATAACAAAAGCAACAACAACAAAGCCTTTTATCCCAAATTTTTGGGGGTCAGCTAGACGAATCATATTCTTCCGGGCTATCTCCTCTCTTAAATTAACTATTATCATATCTTTCTTAATTCCCTGCATCCAAGTTCTTC